TTTCATGTTAAATGTGAAGAATGACAGGTTGGATGCCACAGACTTTTTTTTTTGTTTTGGCGGAGAATAGGTGGAATTTTCACATTAACTTCACACAATATAACAATATAATATAATATCGTAATTTTTACTATATTCCTAAAATATTATGACATTAATCTTATTTCGTTATTTTTTTACGTGGCACTAAAATGCCGCCGTAGGCTATTTGTACTGAATGCAAACACAATTTTGGCACAGCAGCCAAAAAACAAACAAACAACAACAAAAAAAGATAAAAATAAAAATAATAAAAAATAGTGAGGGGATATTTGAATTATTTGTTAATAAACTAGTGTTTTCTGAGTCAGTGTCACAAAGATGAATTTGACGATCCTGACTCACCATCTCCTCAACTGGACGCACCTTTAAAGAGAAATGTCTCTTTACGGATTACATTATGAATGAGTTTTTGTTTTCCTGCTCAAGTCAGAGACGCAAAATGCGCATCCTGTTTGTTTTCCTGTTTGTTAGTTTTTTTTACAAAAGTTGTTTTTTTACGTTTTGTTGATATTGTGAGTGCACACAAATAAAAGTAGACCTTTGCAGTTCCGAATGATGTATACTCTTACCTTTATGAGCAAAAATGACAGTGTATTTTTTAGTTACCACTGTTATTAAGAAAAAAAAAAGTGAGAGAGATCGTGCTGGCGCCTCCATGTCCAGCAAAGCACGCTTCAGCTTCCACTCTCGGCACAAACGATCAGATATGCGCCTAATAGCACACATTTATCTAGGTTACATTTTTTTATTAATATGGTGAAAAGCATGAAGTGTTTTTTTTTAATCCATAGATTTTATTTTAGGCAAGTCGTGTTGATTTGAGAAGAAGGCTAAATTGATCAAACATATGCTCATCGCGCTTCCTGCCGCTGGCCGCTTGGTCGTTCCTTTAAAAAACAAAAACTTGAATTTAACAAACATAGAATTTTCCAAACATATTTCTAAATTAACTTAAACAAACGAAAATAAATATGACCACTGTGCCATTAAAAACTAAAACTGAAATATTGTAATGGCTGCAACAGGTGCTGTGTATGGGGAAGAGAGAGAGAAAAAAAGACAGGGGATCCAGTCGGACTCGGGACGAGAATTCTGATAAGCTGTCAGACAAGGTCTGGGCCCGTGCAGGGCTCTATTCATTCCCTCGTTTCAACTAAAAGTTCCTCTGTGCTCAGCGGGCCCCCAAACTGCCTGGGCCCATATGCACCTGCATACCCTGCATGCCCAGACGCTACGCCACTGAGCACAGCGCATGTCGCGTCCTGTGTGAAAGGGCCATAACCGAGCATTACGAGACAGGCTGCGTGTGTGCGGCAAGTGTAAACGGCTCCTCCGTGAGACCCGTGAGAGAGGAGCGAGTATGAGAAGCATTCAGAGATGCAGGCTGTGCGCGCGGTCTTCTGAATTGGGAATAGCGAACATAAACTTCTTTCAAATTAGAATCTGTTGGGGAGATAAAATGTCCAAGATAACGTTCATGTACTAATAAAAACATCTAATAATGTATCTTTTATTCTCCAGTACTGAAAGCAGAACCGATAAGGGAGCTCTTGGTGTTGTGACACAGCTCTTGCTAATTAACGTTACCTTTTTTGTTTGGTGTGTGTCATTTCGAAGCCGAAGTAATCTCATATTACATAAGTTTTTCTTTAGTATTAATTTGCCTAACTATCGATCTGACCCTGTAGACGCCATAATCACACACTCTCTCTCTGCCCCCCGCTTTCTGTTTTTATTTTTTTTTTATAATGGTGGGCGTTTACACAGTTGGCTAGAGCAGTGCTGATTGAGGAGAACGGAGGTGCGCTCACTCTATTGGTTAGTAAGGCTGCCACTTAAGGCTGACAGTCATGCATATGCTCTGAATTAGCAAACCGCAACGTCTCAAATCGCGATTGTGATTCGATTTCGATTAATCGCACAGCCCTAGTAGAGAGACTGTACATTTTGAATGCATATATCTTCAAAAAGCAAATTGTTTTTCTTATTCAAGAAGCTGCTTCACTTGGATATGTCACAATTATGAAAAAAAAAACATTTGTGTATATATACACACACAGGTTTGTTTTTGTGAAAAGTGGGGACATCCCATAGGCGTAATGGTTTTTATACTGTACAGACCGTATATTCTATTGCCCTACACCAACCCTACCCCTAAACCTACCCCTCACAGGAAACTTTGTGCTATTTCAGATTTTCAATACACTCCATTCTGTGTGATTTATAAGCGTTTTGAAAAGTGGGGACATGGGGTAATGTCCTGAAAAGTCACCTTCTCCTTGTAATACCTATGTTATACCTTTGTCATTATACAAATTTATGTCCTCATTTGTCACAAAAACGCGCACACAATCATCACACACACACACTCACAGGGTTCACACACCAATACATTTCCATGACTTTTGATGCAATATTCATGACCTAATGTTCCATTATTTTATGATAAGAATAAAAATCTGTTCAAATTTATCATAGCATGTTAACTAAAATAAATGACTATTAATGCTACTTGTTTGCTTTCTATATGTTTTAATAATAAGTACAAACTGCAACTGCGACAGACGTTACTCCAGAGAACATATCACATCACTGAATATTGTAATTTATTTAACCAATATTATCAGTTAAACTCAGGACATTAATTTCGCTTTGGAAACTGTTTCAGTCTAACACTAGTGTTCAGGTACAAACATATACAAAAATTTAATAAATGTAATTATTAAAATAAATTAAATTAAAAACAGATTAAACGAGGATACTCGCCATTTTGACGTCATTTTGTGTGTATTTTGGCGCTTAAGTGCAACAAGCTGCGAAAAATAACTCGATATGATACTCGAAGCGGCTTTATACGCGTGCGCTTTGGATGTGACTGTGAGTGCACAGAAAACTGCCTTTGGAGCATGCGAGTACTGAATGGCTTAAAAAGACTTTCAAAAAATGTGCAAATGATACACTTTTGTGACATTGTAACATTGACCTAAATAGGCAAGTGACCGTTCTGTCAACTGTCCCGAAACGCGAGTGAAAGTCTCTTGTAGTGCAGACGACATGTGAAGCCACTTTGAGTGAAAGAGAGAAGACGAGGTACAGCTGAATCACTCATGCTGTTTTCATATGACTGATTTAATCTGACAGTCCGTGTGGATTTATTTACTCATCTAACCTACATGCTGTATTGAATAAATGTGTGCAGGAATTCCCCTCATTTCAAACTTGAAAGCTGTGGCAATGAGTAAAACTATGCAAAGTATGCAATATATGAGCAATCCCACACTGAAATACAGGACCTGATTAAACATAATTCTATTATACAGAGATTTGAGAAATACATTTCCATGACCTTTCCAAAACCTTTTGGGTTTATTTATTTTTCCTAAACTTTTCCAGGCCTGGAAATTGCTGTTTTAAATTTCCATGACTTTTTCGTGACCGTACGAACCCTGTGTGTGTGTGTGTGTATATATATATATCAAGTTTAAAAACATTTTTTACCAAAATGTTTAACTTTCAAAATAATTGTTGTTTTTATTAGCATTAAACTGACTGAAATCATATATATTGACATTATATCAATCATCCGTCTCTAAGATGATCCACATCAACCATTAAAAACCCATATGAAATGACCACTAGTGACTACAACATGGCACACTAGTGCTTTAAATGTTTATCATTGCATAATGCATTGTTTCACAATATTTTTTTTATTATTATAGTTTTTAGTAGGCTAACATTAGCTGGGGTGTGACAAAACTAAAGGCTATAGACCAATTATAGGTTTGTAAACATTCAGGATTCGCGCGCATCATGGCTGCAGAAAACCCGGGAGAGATAGCCTTTACGGCTAGAGAATTTCACGGATACAGTACAAAATAGTTAGGTTTAAAAATATTATAAATTATATTGATTAGATGTCGGTTTTTGTGGGCGGAGCCTATCTGGAGGCAGAAAATGACGGTTTTCAAGCGGCAGTCTATGGAGCCATGGAATAAAAGAATTAAAAAAAAGGTAAATTTGATTTGATATTTCAAAATTCTGACTTTATTCTCGCAATTCCGAGATTATATCTCACAATTCTAATAAGGAAAAACAACTCGTCATTCTCTCTTTTCCCCTCGGCTCTTCTGGCTTTTTCCCTCAGATTTCACAAACTGACTATTTTTGAGTTAAGTCGAGATATAAAGTCCGAATTAGGAGATATAAACTTGCATTTTCGAGAAAAAAAAGTCAGAATTGTGAGATAAAGTAAATAAATGTTACGTAAAAATGTTAATAGTAAGGTTTAAATAATATTTCATGCTGTAACTGTAGGGCTAATACAATACGTCCCCTATGAACAGCATATGTGAATATTATGTAGACCTATTGTTTAAATCGAATTTATGCTTTAAAAGTAGAGTAATCATAGCAGATTTCATCCATAGTATGTCCATTTAAACGTCTGCGTTTAGCTTCAAATGACGACAGTATTCTATCAAAATTATTTGCATTCCGATCTTGACATCAAAAGGCACAAAAATATTTTTTTCTTTTATTCCATGGATTTTACCCATTTACCTCCACTTGTTCCCAGTGTTTTTCTGCAACCACTATGCGTGCGCAGCTGCAAGTGACGTAACTGTGACGTCTACTCTAAATTGGTCTATTGGCTTTTTAAAAAGCATGTGCCCTTGGACTGGTCAATATGAAATACATCAGCACATGAAAACAATTGTGTTTGTCAGTCCATTTTAAGGGGACCTTTAAACGGTCGCTGTATTCTGATTTAGCACCATCTCTCTACCAAAGCCTACATCTGTTCTCAGCACTGAAGGGTGAATGCACTCTAATGTATAGCAAAATAACACAATTATCCTGACTTACTGTTCTTCACGACCAGTGGGGAGATTGATTTAGGCTAATGGAGTTATGAAAAAGTGGAGTAATATTTTAGGGAAGGCAACAGCACTCACTGAAGGTTTTGCAGATGTCGGAGACGGCCTTGAAGACGCGGTCAGAAAAGTTGACCTTCACCCTCATGTGCTTCATGTTGGGCAGCTGCAGGCGCAACAGTTTGTGCTGCGGCGAGAAGAGCAGCCTGGCGTCAGCCTGAATGCCATATTTATCAAGCGTCCAGTGCGTCTTTAGCAGCCAGGTCTTCTTCTTCTCCCACCACAGCGCATGATCTGACCAGTCCTTCTTCACATCTGCGTAAAGAGAAATATGACAACGTTAGGAATCACATTGACAAGCACTGGGAAAGGGAGGGATGAAAAGCAACCGAGCTAAAACTGGCCTCTAATTTGGCTGCAAACACAGCAATGCGATTGAGCTCAGATGTGTTTGTGTGTGTGAAAGCCGCTCTTGCCAAACTGGAGGGCTGTGTTCTGGTCTGGATGAAAGCAAGAGGCCAAGCTTTCATCGGGAGGCTCGAGCACACGGGCCAAAGATAGGAGCAGTTGGAGGTGAAACGCTGAGAAGTGTTTGTATGTGTGAGTAAGCCTCGCTCTTTGTTCCACATTCACACTGTAAACTGAGTCTGATACTCTAGACCTGCTTTTCCTCTAACAGCTGCACACAAACAACACAGGAAGTGGACTGCAGAAGAAGAATCCAATTCATAATAACCAGGAGACATATCACATGCACCCAGCATACTACGCAGGGCTCTGCACTTGTATTTTTGTTTAGGAGCTGTAGCGAATCAGCTCAAAGGGGAAATATGAATATTTAATTATAACTAGTTATAATTAATTATAAATATTTAGATCCGCTGTAAGTATTTACTTGACCTCTCAGTGTCAACTGTCTGTCAATTCTAAGAACGTAAATTTTCTGGTTAAGGCAAATAAATTGCTTACTGTACAATACTACTCAGAGCATGTAGCAAAAATCTGCATGATTAGGGACTCCAGTTATGAGCAAACAATGAACCACGTCAAGTGTGATACAAGTAAGACTTTATTAAATACATAAACACTTAAACTAGTCTAACATACACATACACACACACACACACATGCATACAGTTGGCATAGGAAAAAGGGTTAACGCTTAAGCAGTAAAGAGAAGAGAAATAAAAACACGAATGGTACCATTTGATTTTCAGCAGATCTACAGTCTGAAGGAAACATCAGTTTTTTAGTTCAAACACACCTTTGAAAAATGTCAATTAATAAAAGACTAAGTTTGATACTTGCACGTCTTGCCTGTTTGAAAGAGAGTCCTGATGCTCTTTGGGGCTCCAGTAGGTTGGCTGAAGTTAGGTGATGAGAAAGAACCATTTTGAGTCAGAGGATCTTGATGAATGGAAAGACTAGGCACGAGGCCTGGCACAGACTTAGGGTGTCCTTAGAAGCGTTCTAGCTCACATCCACATCTTCTCAGAATCTAACCGAACCGCAGACTGACTGGCTATGTGTTGGAGCCCACCGGGCACGCCCGCACCGGCTCAGGCTCCAACACGCTTCTTAGCAGAAGAAGAACAACAAGAACGAACATGGGCGGAACTGTGCGTGAGTCTTTTAAGGTCTGAGAAGATTCACGCCTCTCAGGTTGGGCTTGTCCAATGAGAAAGGCTGAAATTCCAAGCGGGAGGTTGGAAATACTGGGGAGTTTTATGACCCTTTGTGTGAGAGCATGGTAATTTGCATATGGAACTCGAATCAAAATTACTAAAGATTCTTAGAACACTAATATATTGCCTATGTACCCACATATAATATAAATGCTCATTTAGATCATCAGAAGACAAATTCAAAGAGACCAAACATGGTATCGGTGGGGTTATATTAACTAGTGATCTATCATAACACACACACAAAACAAAATACAATTCAAAAGACAAATATACAAGACCAGTAATGGTATACACACTGTCCTGAGGAGATGTGTGTTCATTCACAGAAAGGTTTTTCTATGAATTAATTAGAGCAGAGTCCATTTTTATGGGCATTGTGTGTCTTTCCTAAGGGTAAATTAATTGTGAGTTTCTCTGCCCGCATTCCTTTGGGCAATAAAACCAGTGATATCAGCATTGGTTGCCATGGGTCCAGAGGCCTGTTCTGCCTTTCTGAGGTGTTAGATGCATTTCGGGGGAAGGGTCCATAGACCCTCATATGGCTTGTTAACTGAGGCGTGTTACAGAGTATTTGTTAAATATAACTAAAAAAAAATTGTGTGTCTGATTGGCCCAGACGCTACAGAGCGCTCTGGAGGGACAGTTAAAGCCCAGTGAGGTCAAGAAACTGGAATTTCTAACTTTGATACACTACCTTAAAAAATATTGATATTCAATACCATGGGGTAAAATTTGAACAGTATATAATTCAAACTATAATAATAGTAATGATAATAATAATCGCATTATTATTATTATTATTATTATTAAACAGAAATATACTACTATTGTAATATAACTGCACTGTAAAAAATGAATATTTAATAACTATATTATTTTACTTTAGAGTAGTAAAAATTACAATAAATATGACTTAATTTCTTCAGTTGAAAGAGTTAATCTCTCAAAACCCTGATGGTGGAAAATTGCAGGGAAGCTCAAGTTTCTATCATTGTTACTATAATTAACTAAACCTAAAAACTAAAAAAACATAAAATATAAAAACAAACAAACAAACAAAAAACCTTGAAACATTTTTTTCATATAGTTGCTCAGGAAAGATTTCTCCTTTTTTTTGTGTGTGTGTTTACATTGAAGTACTAAAATAACAAAAACTGAAATAATATTTAATAAAAGCTATATGGACACACATACACACACAAAAGCCTAATAAAAGTGACAAAAACACACAACAACATTGTTAAAACTTTTAAAAACTTTTATAAAATTCATACTAAATAACTGTAAACCTGCTGCCATAGTAACCAATGTTAAATAAGTCTCATAGAGATACTTTTATTTTGTGTGAACCGAGCCACTCTGAGCAGCTGAAAACACTGGATCACAAGAATCCAATGACACGCTTCACTCTAAAAACACGCAGTACAACGGACTATATGCTTATATAATTACAATACATACACAACGGTGTGTGTGTGTGTGTGTCAACTTGCTGTCAGAAAGAAGAGAGACTATGAGAGCACAGATGGCATATCAATAGTGTGGAAAATGAGTACTGAAACGGTCTCAAACATTTCAGTATCATTATGTATCGAAAAATCATATTTTTGACAACACTAAAAGACACTAATTCTAGCAACCAGTCTCACCACTCTGACAAGCAGCATAAAAAGCTGACATGAGAAGTGATTGAGGAGTGTGTTGCTCTCGACTGGCTTCACTTTTTCATCGAGTTTGTGGCGTGAATAATTAACCAATCAAACTGGCCTGGGGCTTGAATTAATGTAGGCTGGACCAGTGGCGTCTCTCCATCACTGATGTCAGGACACAGGTATGCATGCGAGCAGACAAAGGAAACTGTTTCCCCCTCAGCAGACCACTATCCAGTTTCCCCGCATTATTTGTGTGTGTGTGTGTGTGTGTGTGTGTGACTGTGTGTGTGTGAGACTGTGTGTGTGTGTGAGACTGTGAAAGTGGATTGCCACCATCTCTCTTCCCAACCAAACTCTAAAAGAAAGAATTAGTTTTAACTCTTAGAACGGTTTTAGATTACCTTGTTTTCTGTAGGTCCAGGACTTTCATCTTCTGTGGGATTTTAAGCTTTGTGTTTAAACACTAGGAAACATTCTTCCCTCCAAATAGTGCAGGTATGAAACCATGGCGTTATAATATTCTGCTACCAGAATGAAGAAACTTGTAGTACAACTGACGAACAGCACCTGAATTTAGGTTTATTTTTTGTTAGATGACACAGAAAGTTTGAAAGGATTAAGGGCTGAAGTTTATTTCTGAAAAAGAAAAACTTAAGTGATATAGTTTGTAATCTTCTTTCTTATTTTATCAGGACAAAACAATGAATGCGACTATCGATTTCTCAAAACATCTCTCCGATCTTCTCTCGGACTCTGTCCACATATGTCATTGTCGTGAGCATTTATCTACAGACAAAAACGAACTGACTCAGTTTTTCTCCTCCACACCCAACAAAAAGACACACTGATCCCATATCAATCACCGCGTCTCGTTCACTAGCCAACCATCTCCATCTCCATAACAACATAACAGTATAAAAGACAACACTGACAGTCTACAATCATCTCTGAAGAACAAGGAAAATATTTACAAGCCAAAAGACTTCAAGAACTAATAGAATCGCTCAAAAGAGAAGCACTGTCCTCTATGCTCTATTACATCTTGTATATGAATCCTGAGGATGTATTATAGATCCACAGAAACAGGCCTGGAAGCCAGTAAGGTGCATGGAGCTAAACTGTAGTGCAGAAAACATCAGCATGCACTTTAAAGATTAAATAAACTTTCATCTACTCACCAGATGGACTAAACTGCCTATAAATAAAAATCCAACGGTTCACTGAATCCAGATCATCTAGATCAGTGTTTCCCAACCGGGGTGCCGCGGTTTAAAAAAATATTTTTAAATTGCTAAAATGTTCAGAAAAGCATCTATTATATTATTCTGCAGTTCTTCCCTGTTGTACCCAATATCTACACTTTTCAAATTATCACATCGAAGTTAGAAATTCAAATATTGTGACAAAATAAATTTTGTAGGGTGCCACAAGTTTGTTAAAATTTCCAAAGGGTGCCGCGACTAAAAAAAGGTTGGGAAACACTGATCTAGATTACAAACGGTTGCAAACATTTTTCAGGGCTTGCAAAGAAAAAGAGAAATTGACTTTCCCAGTTCTCCCCAAATCATAGATGGGAAAGAATTAGTAAAACATGCTTACATTCTAACAAAAAGAAACAAATTAATAAAATGTGCTCATTTATTTCCTAATTCATGAGACTTTTCCGCTTATATTCAATGTGAAGGCCTCCGTAAAAAAGGAATAAAGATGTTAAAAATGTATAGATAACAAATAGACATAAAAATGAATTTGCAGAGTTTCAAATGAATACTTTTTAAATAATTTATATTTGTCCATTTCTAATAATGTAGTCACAACACTGACTAAAGCGCACTAATCCATGCATTAGAAAACTTGTCTACAACTCTTAATGCTCTCATGTAATCCAAATGTTCTATCGTTTTTATATTATTCGAGGAGAATATGGCATAGGATTCAATTATAATCAACAGGGCTCGCTATGTGTGAGAGCTAA